TTTTTTGATACGGAGTCTCACTGTGTCAGCCAGGCTGGAGAGCAGTAGCATGATCTCGGCTCACTGCAACCTCCACCTTCCAGGTTCAAGGTATTCTCCTGCCTCAGCCTCCTGAGTAGCTAGGATTACAGGTGCCTGACACCACATCTGGCTAATTTCTGTATTTTTAGTAGAGACGAGGTTTTACCATGTTGGCCAGGCTGATCTTGAACCCCTGACCTCAAGTGATCCACCCACCTCGGCCTCCCAAAGTGCTGGGATTACATTCGTGAGCCACCACGCCCAGCCTCTCAGTATTTTACAATGCCCCTTGGTAAAAAGAAATATCTAGGTCCAAATAGCTTATTAGGTGTTTATGCCCTAATAATTTAAGTAGCCATTTGAAAAAAAATACATGCAAATTAAAAGGAAAACAACATTTTTATTTCATTCTTAAATAATCACACTTACTAAAGGGATGTGTGCACCTGCAGGGCACATACTTCTTAAAACCTTGGAATCAGATTGGGCGAAGGCCACCCTCATTTCCTGTTCCACATTGATTTTTGCACTGTACTCACTTTTCATCACAACCAACTGGAAAACCCAGATCGAGATATGACATAGCCAAGGAATTTGGCACCATCTATTGTTGAAACTGTAAACAACCTCAAGCTAGGAGTTTTGCATAGTCTAGATTTCATTTTGCTTGCCTTGAAAATTTAGAATGCAAGATATTCCATGGATATCTCCCTGTGAATTTACTGTGGAGCTGTGAGGTAGCTCAGTGCACTGTTTGATTCAAACCACAGGATTTTATAATAGTGCAGTATAAATGCTGCATTTTCTGATTTTGATATATGGTTGCCATGTAGAGAAGAAGGTCCTTTTTCTGAGGAAACACACATTGAAGTATTTATGGACAAAGAAATCTATTGGCTGGGTGCAGTGGCTCATGCCTATAATCTCAGCTCTTTGGGAGGCTGAGGCAGGAGGATTGCTTGAACCCAGGAGTTCAGGACCAGCCTGGTCAACATAGTGAGACTCCTTCTCTAAAAAAAAAAAAAAAAAACATACAGTAGAAAATGTAGCTATACATATTAAAATGTCTGTGTGTGTGTGTATATATATATATATATATATATACATACACACACATATATGTACATATACATATATATACATATGTAAATGTGTATATTATATATGTATATGTGTGTGTGTGTGTGTGTGTGTGTGTATACATATATATATATATTTTTTTGACCTATTCTCCTGCCTTAGCCTCCCAAGTCACTGGGATTGCAGGCATCTGCTACCACACCCGGCTAATTTTTATATTTTTAGTAGAGATGGGGTTTCACCATGTTGGCAAGGCTGGTCTCAAACTCCTGACCTCAAGTGATCTACCTGCCTTAGAATCCCAAAGTGCTAGGATTATAGGTGTGAGCCATCGAGCTGGGCCTGTGTTTATATCTCTATCCATCGATCTATCTATCTATCTTAATCTATCTATAAAAGAAAGATGCCTACAAATAAACCTCAGACTACTCAGAAAAATGTGACTATATGTGTACATATAGACAGCACAGTGATATGGTAAATGGGACAAAATGTTAACAATTGATGAATTTGGATAAAGGGTAAACAAGATTTTTTTGCTACCATTCTTGAAACTTTTTGTGTAAAATTATTTTAAAATAGTCTTGAAAGATGAAATGCAATACTACATTTTAAGGTGTATATTCATATGTAGTAAACAATTTTAAATGCCTGGAAATTAAAGCAGCATTCAGATTGTTGCAACTGTTTGTAGAGAGAAAAGATGTATCGGAAAAAGCTACACACAGTATCAGTGATGTTTTCTTCCTTCTATTTGAGACAAGGGCCTCACCTTCTTGCCCAGGCTGGAGTGCAGTGGCATGATCACAGCTCACTTCAGCCTCAACCTCCCAGGCTCAGGTGATTCTCCCACCTCAGCCTCCTGAATAAGTGGGACTACAGGCTTGGGGCACCACATGGCTTTTTTTTTTT